TGCCCCAAGACTTGATTTTGTTCAGGAAGTAATTTTCTTTCTCAGAGAAAGAAAAATTTCAAAGACAGAATGTTTTCTTTAATACATGCATCTTGTATATTCAGTGTGCAAGGAAATTATCTTTTACCTATACTCTAGAAAAGACAACATCCTCTAATGTAATGTTCTGCCTACACTGAAATGTTAGTACTGAAAATCAGAGAACAGTTCCAAATCTTGTTGAGCGTTCTTTTTGCACAGATTGCATACTCTCACTCCAGAGGCCTGTGGAAACAAGTCCTTTCATCTGCAAATCTAAACCCCATTCTGCAATATTAATCTCTTGAGGAAGATTTACTCTAAGATAAAAAACGTTTCTTTATCATAATTTTCTCTGGTATTTTGAAAGCCAAGGTCTATTCATCATAAGCAAAGTTCTGAAGAAATGAAGTTTTCCTTTATGTTTCTTAGGTTGCTATGGGAACCAAATCACTTTTCACTCATTAATCATGAGCAGAACTGCCAGAACTGCAATCTGTACCAGGGAGCTTGAGTCTGTTCATAGTGCTGCCCTTTTTATCTATCTCACGGGTTCCTTAAATCTTCTCCAAATACCTTTTCTCTCGTTTTCACTGCCTTATAGACTGTATTTTCCCCCTATCTCACTCTGTATAATGGATCTCTTGAAGCTTTTGCATTTTATTTAGTCTCACATTCTGCCTTTTGTAACCCAGACCAAACTAAATAGTTAGGTTCTGGATGACCTTTGAATGTTGTTCAGGCTTTACTTTGGTGAAACAGAGAGTCACACTTGGGCCTAAATGCCTATATTGTAGGCTTTTATTCTCAGGATCAGTAGTCCTTAGGGTTTCTCAGTGTTTGTCTCTTTTGTAAGGTATCTTGGAAAGAGAAAAGTGTGATGGCTATTCTAACATTCTTCACTCTGCACACTCACACTGAAGAACACTTTATTCTCAGTGGCTAACTTTGAAAATAGTCCCGGGGCAAAGGTTGGAGAAGCCACATTGTGCTGCTCTCTTCAGAAACCCGGATGGGTCAAAAGGCAATATACATGGTATTTTGCTACATGGAGATGAGGTAATCTCTGGGAATCTGTGAAAAATATTCATGTCATACTTTTGCAGGTTGGGTGAGGTGAGTGAAAGGGAATCAGCAAGTAGGTGAGTAGAAATTGGATCAGAAATGTGTGGCTCCACTGGAGGACATTGTCAGGAAGGCAAACAAATTGGGAGAATGCCTGACTTTCACAATTCCTTCTGAGAGGAAGACATATCCTGTTGATTCCTATGAAGTTATTGATGACCCACTTGAGCTGCATGTGTCACAAATATTTAGCTCCCCAATGAACTATGCGGCCATATTTAGCATTACTTGTTAATGGTGTGTTAGTTTCTGCTTGTGAAGTATATGTATGCAAATCAGTAGATATTTGCATATCAGTGAAGATTGTCTTATCGCCTCCATAAGTACCAATATTCTGCATCTGTTCATTATGCAGATGCAAAAGGGCAAATGAAAGTTGTATTATTAGAAAGACAGTGAGAGTTGAAAGTGTTTGAGAAAACACTTTGGTTTATGTTTTGTATTTTAGACATATCAAATAAGAGTCAAGATTGTTACATTCTTGTCTGAAATTCACAGAATCACAGAATCATTCAGGTTGGAAAAGACCTCTGGGATCATCAAGTCCAACCATCAGGCTGACTTTGCAAAGTTCTCCCCTACACCATATACTCCAAAACCTCATCTAAATGGCCCTTAAACACATCCAGGGATGGTGACTCCACCACCTCCCTGGGCAGCCTATTCCACTGTCTGACCACTCTTTCTGTGAAAGATTTTTTCCTAATGTCCAGTCTGAACCTCCCCTGTTGCAGTTTAAAGCCATTCCCCTTTGTTCTGTCACTAATCACCTGTGAGAAGAGACCAGCACCAACCTCCCTACAATGTCCTTTCAGGGAGTTGTAGAGAGTGATGAGGTCTCCCCTCAGCCTTCTCCTCCTCAAACAGCTCCTTCAATCACTCCTCACAGGATTTATTCTACAGGCCCTTCACCAGCTTCGTTGCCCTCCTCTGCACTCGCTCCAGCACCTCGAGATCTCTCTCGTATTGAGGTGCCCAAAACTGGACACAACACTCCAGGTGTGGCCTCACCAGTGCAGAGCACAGGGGGACTGTCACCTCCCTGCTTCTGCTGGTCACACTATTTCTGACACAAGCCAGGATGCCATTGGCTTTCTTGGCCACCCGGGCACACTGCTGGCTTGTGTTCAGCTGCTTGTCAATGAGAACCCCCAGATCCTTCTCTCCCAGACAGCTCCAGCCACACCTCCCCAAGCCTGTAGCCATGCAGGGGGTGGTTGTGGCCCAAGTGCAGGACCTGGCACTTGGCCTTGTTGAAGCTCATCCTGTTAACATTGGCCCACATATCCAATCTATCCAAGTCTCTCTGTAGAGCCTCCTTATCCTCATGCAGATCGACACTCCCGCTTAACTTGGTGTCATCTGCGAACTCACTGACGATACACTCTATGTCCTTATCAAGACCGTCAATAAAGATGTTGAACAGAAATGGTCCCAACACCAAGCCCTGAGGAACACCCCTTGTGACCGGCCACCAGCTGGATTTATCTCCACTGACCATCACTCTCTGGGACTGTCCATCCAGCCAGTGCTTGACCCAGCAGACCGTGTGCTCATCCAGGCCATGGGCAGCCAGTATTTCTATGAGAATCCTATGGGGACCTGTGGGCCTTGCATAGCCTCTGAATAGCAGCTAGGCTTTGATGAGAAACAGGCCTTGGGAGAAAAATAAGAAACTGCTGATTTGTGCCAAGGTGGCACGGAAAACAATGGACAGCTGCAACACTAAACTGTGGAAAGCACTGAACTGTGAGAAGTTACTACCATGTGAGCAGCGCGTGCACAAGGAGGTGATTGGTCCGCACAGCGTGTGTTAGAGTGGTCTTATGCTGATAGGAGAAAGGATTGATAGCTGTCTAATTGCTGATTTGCTAGTTATGAAGTAAGAGCTTTGGTGAGAGCGTAAGTATGTACTATTAGAAAAATAAATGGCTTTGCTGGATATAACTCTTATAGAGTTGTACAGATCTGATACCCTCCCACAAAAGGGAACTGTGTCAAATGCTTTTCGAAAACAGCTTTTCCCTCATCCAATAAGCAAGTCATCTTGTCATAGAAACAGATCAGGTTTGTCAGGCAGGACCTGCCTTCCATACCCCCATGCTGACTGGGCCTGATCCCCTGGCTGTCCATTATATGACTTTTAATGGCACTCGAGATGACCTGCTCCATGGCCTTCCCTGGCACCGAGGTCAGACTGACAGGTCTATAGTTCCCTGGATCCTCCTTTCTGCCTCTCTTGTAGATGGGTGTCACATTTGCCACCCTCCAGTCTAATGGGACCTCCCCAGTCAGCCATGACTTCAGGTAAATCATGGAAAGCGGCTTGCCGAGCACATCTGCCAACTCTTTCAGCGCCCTTGAGTATAACCAATCCGGTCCCAAATTTCTCTTAGAGAGAAACAAAATATTCACAGTAAGTGGCTCAAATTATGCCCTTTTATCTTACTTTTTTTCCTCTTGTCCCAAGTCTTGTTTTATTGCCAACTGCTTTCTGAAGAAGCTTGTCTCTGAAGAAAGTTCCTAAAATTCATTGCAGTTTTAAGAGTCTGCAGAAAATATGAGTGGTATTCTAGTGTGATCTAAATCTGTAAATGAATTTACATTGAGAGGTGAAATGCATATGCTGCAATGGCACAAAGAAAATCCCCTTTCTTAATGAGATTGCTTCAGCAGAACTTTTCTTTCAAAAGCTGCCTTTGTTGTGGAAACTGGGTTTAATTTTGTAGGCTTCATGGTGGTTTTTGGTGCCCATCAGAAGACAAGTCATTAAAACATAATCACGGTCTGATGGTCAGAGGTGATGAAGATCTTGCAGTTCTCATGGATCTGTCTGAATGAGAGGAACAATGGCTCATTGCTGCTCTATAAAGTAGTCCCAGTGTCCAAAACTGGATTATCAGACCTAAAGTACTAAAGTGATAAAAATAATATTGGAAGTGTGGACTTGAAATTTATTCAGCACACTTTCTTAGACACTTTGTCTCTCCAATTTTGTGTTCGTGTTAGTTTGCACAGCATTAGGAATATATTTGAAGCTTGTAAGAATTTAGGATTAAACATACCTATTGAAGTTGCCCGTAAGACTTGTCTTTGGCTCTCACTTCAGATTTCAATGCTTGTGCACGCATCTGCCTTTCAGATCTCATGCAATGCCATGCACTTGATCATGCCAGTTGGGCTAGTATGGCAGCATGCAGCCATATGCATTAGAGAGCATCTGGGCAGAAGAAGGTAGGGAGTTGAACACTGCTGTGCATAGCCATTGTTTTGACACTGTGTACACAAAGCCTTAGATCCTTTTGGGATCAGTGGTCTCTAAAGCAATTTTACTATTATATATTCCAGGACTTGA